CGTTGTGTTCCACAGAGCATTATTGTATCAGCATTATTGTATCATCACAAGGTAAATGTAACACGGTAAGCCTTGAGAAGCGTGATTATTTATTTTTATTATTTTTATGGCTTCAAGTGCAAAAATGGCTCCCGACAGTCTTGGATTGGAACTAAGAAAGAAAATTAATGGCGATTACGTAAGTGGAATGTCACAAAAAAGAATGGACCGTATCAAAACCATGTTCCAAACATCGTTCTACGGGGGAAGTTGGCGGCAGATAACAAAGGTGGTAGACCGCGTTCCACCACTTCTAGAGAGGATTTTATGATCGTCAGATCCGTCAAGAAGGACCCCTGGATATCATCAGTCGAGATACAAAAGCAATTAGAGCTGCCGGTATCGGACCGAAAAATCAGACGACGTGCTGTTGAAGCTGGATTGTTTTCTCGACGCCCTGCAAAGAAACCGCGCTAAAGAACCAGAAGAAAAGACTCCTTTTGCTACATCTCATATTGACTGGAATGTGCAGAAATGGCGAACTGTCCTGTTCACTGATGAATCGAAGTTCAACGTCATTGGGAGCGATGGCATTTGCCGTGTACGTCGTCCGGCCGGAAAACGCCTCGATTTTACTGCCAAGACCGTGAAGCATGGTGGAGGCAATGTAATGGCCTGGGGGTGTTTTTCTGCTAATAGCCTAGATACAATACATCGCAAATCAATGGAATAATGGAGCGTTCCATGAATAAAAATATCCTGAAAGATGTTATATTACCTCATGCTGAATAGAATATGCCAATAAAATGGGTTTTTCAGCAAGACAACAATCAAAAAACACACTGCAAAAGTAGTCAAGCAGTGGTTTTAAGACAACCACCTATCGGTGATGGATTGGCCGCCTCAATCTCCGAATCTCAACCTTATCGAGAACCTGTGGGAGATCGTCAACCGCAGAATTAATTGTGAAGGTGTTTGTAATAAGGATCAACTGTTTGAACAAATCCAAAAGGCCTGGGCAGCGATTCCAGTAAGTTTCATTGATCACCTGATCGAATCTATGCCTCGAAGAGGCAAGGCTGTGATCGACAACAAAGGATTCGCCACGAAATATTGATAGCGAAATACAGCTTGGTCAACATTTGTGGAGTTGCACTTGTTTTGTCCAGAAGGAAATCAACTTTTTTAATACTTTAATTTATTAATTCGTGTACAAATAATGAACTTTGTGATGAATAAAACTTGAAAAACCTTGTCTCTAAACAATTACATAGTTATTTCTCTAAATTGGAAAAATGCAGCACTTTTATATAAAGAAACTAAATTAGCATTATTTGGTTATCCGATACTATATATATATATATATATATATATATATATATATATATATATATATATATATATATATATATATATATATATATATATATATATATATATATATATATATATATATATATATATACACCGTTTGAAAATTTTGACTTTTTTGGTTACGAAACATCCCGAAAAAATCCTCTTAGGGTATGAAACTACACATGTCAAGAATACTATATCAACTTACTTTGAAATCCAAAATTAAAATCCGAGAGAGATATTTTGATTTAAATTTTTGAAATAATATAAAAACATTAGCAGTTTTTGTTTTTGAAAATAGCGGTATTGGGGTGGGTCGTAGTGATTTTTTTAATAAAATAACTTTTTTAGACAATTAATTTGTAAAGATTTCGTATTTAATAAATTTTTTTGAGAAATGAGCTATAAGGGGAGATATTTCCATTTCAAGTTTTGAATCGATTAATTTTTGAATCGCGAATTACGATGAAAAATTTGATACGTGAATTGCCGTAAATTTGTACTTTCCTAAAATTTGTACTCTTCGGACATTTCCAATTTTACGGACTTTTTGTACTTTTAGTATATTTTCATACGTTTTATGACCTCTTTGTACTTTAAGAATTAGTTTAAATGATATCTTCAAACAGATCACAAGTTCATCTCAGATTTTGAAATGCCTACTTTTTCAAAGGATCATAATCAATGTCGGCAGGTCGTTTGTACACTTTGTATGAAAAAAAGTGACAGAGAAATTTCAGAATATTTCATCAGTGAAATCAAAAGATTGATTTCTGGCAACATCAACTTTGATGATGAGAGGGTTCCACGAGGGATCTGTGTCACCTGTAGGTTCCTGCTTAGAAAGTTAGCTTCTGGAGATGAAGAAGTGAGTATACCTCAACTTTATGACTTCGAATCCATATTGATCAAACCATCAACTCGCCAGACAACTAAATGTGATTGCATCATTTGTCAAATTTCAAAAACCAAAGGGAAAGGAAAGCACCCCTTTGAAAAACCATCTCAGCAAGAAGTGCAAAAAGAAGAAAAATCTTTTGAAAAACGATGCACAAAATGCCTATCTGTCATTGCTCGAGGACTGCCTCATAACTGCAAAGAAGCAACACGTCGTGAAAACTTGAAAGCTCTGGCATTGGCAGATCCGTTAGGGGCAGAGCAAATTGCATCATTCATCGTTTCTTCCAAAGAGGTATCTTCCGATGGAACTATTCTGATTAGCCGGTTTCATGGAAAGCCTCTTGAAATCAGACCAGGTATGTTAAAGTATTGTTGCTGGGTTTGCTTTTTAATATTGGTTTTTTTCTTATTTGTTTCTTTATTCACAGGATCAAATGCAACTCAGGGTCTCTCCTCAGAGCCATTGACAATACAAGATATGATTAATATTCAGCAAAACATTGGACTTTCTAACAATGGAATGAGAAAGCTTGGGTCAGCTTTAAATCAAATAAGTCCTGTTCGCATAGTTGAGGCCAATTTTCAACAAAAATTTGCTGCAGCTGGAACTACCCTCAAAAGTTTCTTTACAGTAACCACTTCACAGTTACCAGAATCAAATGAAACACGCCATATTGTTCACTGCACAAATTTGGAAACCCTCAAAGAAAATATTGTTTCATCCAGAGGCTTGCAAAACTCAAACTTCTTAAAGCTTGGCATTGATGGTGGAGGATCATTCTTTAAGGCAAGTTTGAGTCTTATCAGTGAGCATGAAGGAGAACCTCACAGTCCTGTTCAGAAGAAATCAAAATTGATCACCAAAGACAACTTCAAAAACACAAGTGTTCAAAAACAACTGATTGTTGCCATTTCAGAGAACACACCAGAGACTTACCCAAATGTTAAGCACATTCTGGATCTTCTCCAAATCAATGAAATCTCCATTTCAGAAAAACTTGTTATTTCTTGTGACATGAAGCTTGCAAACATAGTTTGTGGAATTCAGTCACACAGCAGTAAGCATCCTTGCTGTTAGTGCAACATAGACTCAGCACATTTGGAAAACTGTGGTCAGCTTAGAACATTCGGGGGCATCAGAGACTTGTACAAAAAATTTGTGAAGTCTGGTTGTGATGCCAAAAGATCAAAAGAGTTTGAAAATGTGGTTCATTTGCCAATGTTTGCCTTTCCAGACAGGGAATTGATCCTTGAGGCAATCCCACCCATGGAACTGCATTTGCTCCTGGGAGTTGTCAACCACCTCATCAAGTACTTGGTTCAAGTTTTTCCAAAGACCAAACAATGGTTGGATTCAATCCACATTCAGATGCAACCATTTCATGGTGGCCACTTCAATGGAAAAGATTGCATGAAAGTGCTGAGGAAAATTGAAGAGCTTATGCAATTGACAATTGCTGAAAAAGCACCAGATGCAACAAAGGCATGCCAAGCATTGAGCTCATTTTACCAGGTTGTGGTTTCATGCTTTGGATACACTCTGTTGCCAGATTATGAGGCAAAAATTTGTGATTTCAAAGATAACTACTTGAAATTACCAGTCTCAGTCACACCAAAGGCACATGCTGTTTTTCATCACGTTCAACAATTCATTCATCAGCACAAGGTTGGTCTAGGTGTATTCAGTGAGCAAGCAACAGAAGCTCTTCATTCAAATTTCAAGACCCACTGGCAAAGATTCAAGCGAAACTCTACTCATCCGGAATATTCCAGTCAACTCCTCAGTTGTGTAGTTGATTACAACAGCAAAAAAGTTTAGTTGGAAAGAAAGAAAATAAAAGACTCCTCATTTTCAATTTGGAGAAACTCAGTTTGTGTGTGTGTAAAGAATGTATTTATTTGTCAAAAGAAAAATTTTTGAAGTGAGAAATTTTGATTATATCAAAAAATTGAAAGATGGTTTTCTAAATATTTTCAAATAAAATTTTAAAATTGTGAATATGAATTATTGTCAAAAATGGCATATTTTCTATCTTAATTTTACTTTTTAAATTAGTTAGGCTGTATTAGGACTGATATGACCCCTTTTGTTAAGGGCAGGTTGTAACCAACTTCTATCCATTTGGTGAAAATATTGAATATTTTCAAATCAAAATATCTCTCTCGGATTTTAATTTTGGACTTCAAAGTAAGTTGATATAGTATTTTTGACATGTGTAGTTTCATACCCTAAGAGGATTTTTTCGGGATGTTTCGTAACCAAAAAAGTCAAAATTTTCAAACGGTGTATATATATATATATATATATATATATATATATATATATATATATATATATATATATATATATATCTGTAGATAGAACAAGATTATTATTATTATTACATCTGTAGATAGAACAAGAAAATAATGAGAGGACGATATGTTCAACCCGTTTTAGTCATAAAACCAAACTTGACAATTATCCAAAGTAGATTACAACTACGACTTGCTATTTATGTCCTAAAGGAGAGTGACCAGTGGCGGATAAAGACTTCTTGGGACCCGAGGCTATTTTTGTTTTTGGAGGCCTTTTTATGGGCCAGAGCCTAAAATGACTTAGAAAAAAAAGAGGTTCTCTAAAATTTTTGGGGGTCCCTAAATTTGCGGGGCCGGAGGCTATAGTCTCCCCTAGCCTCCCCTTGATCCGGCACTGAGAGTGACTAAAATCCGGCACTGAGAGTGACTAAATTTCGGCACTGAGAGTGACTAAAAAAAGGCTAAAATGTTTTGTATGGCAACGGTTACTAAATTTACACAAGCTAAAACGGTTACAATAAAAAGCTTGTAAAAAGTATTGTGTTTGTGAAAAAAGTTTTATAATATTTCGTATATAAAGTTATATATTTTATAATATCGAGTGATCTATATGAAATTAGTTTTTTAAAGTGATCTATATTAAATAAAACAAAGTATGGGGCAAGCATGCACTTCACAAGAAGCTCAGGAAATGTTAATCGCAGATTTAAACCTTCCATCTAGATCTGTAATCAAAAATGACACGATACAGACTATTAACAAATGTCTGGCTGTGGTAAATATTTATTTATTTAGCATTGCTCAAAAATAAAATAATTTAAAATGTAGTTTATATATTAGACATTTTAATCACCATTTATCATTCCTATTTACTCCCTAAAAGAAATAGTTTGAGGGGTTAGGTAGGCTTACCTGTTATTAATTCTTAATTACTAACTATTGTTCATCAAATTTCTTTTAGTATTAGAAAGGTCTTTGATTCTCTAAAACAAACTGCTAATATTTAATCTTGTGTTTAATAACATACTTCTGATAATCATTACACATTTTAATCCTCTATTTCTACTGCTGGTATGTTAACCATAAAAATAGAACTGTTTTATAATTTGCTGATAGATAGCATAAGGCCAATTGGTTTCAATGAGGCTTTTGATAAAGGTTTTTGCGCTGTTCTTCTCATTAACTTTCTCCATGGTTGATTAGAAAAGGAAGTCTTGAGTTTGATCTCTCCTACTTGCTATAGCTGGTAAATTTTAGTCCAATCAAAGTTTTTTTGTTCCCTGCCAGCCATTAATGTTGATAATTCTATATTGAGAATTAGCAACTTTTGTACTGAAATTTCTACTCTTCATCCTGATTTTATTCTTTACTTTTATATCTTACTTGCCCTTATATGGAATACTGTCATATTTAGGCTAAGTCTTCTAATATTTTACTTTCTTTTTTGGAAAAGGAATATAAAATTATAGAATATTATATTGGAATTCCTCCCATATTTATGTTTTCCTGATTTATATAAATTTACATTTTAAAAAGCTTTATAAAAGTAAGAAGATAGGTAAAAAGCAAGAAAACATTTAACAAAAAACAAAACAAAAAAAAACAACTACAACAAAACAACAACAACAACAACAACAAAAAGCAAACAAACAAACAAAAAAAACATTTGCTCGCTTTTTACCTCTTATTTTCTAGCAACCCATGCATTAAATAATAGTTGCTTTCAGTTTTAAAAATAATCATAACCTACAAAATTCTTAATTAAATGTAGTTGTTTAGTTTTAAAGTTTTTAAAGCTGTTTTATTTAATACACTTGATGTCTAGGTGAGCAATAAATGGATTTCCACAATCAATGTAACTGGCAGGGTGCATGAAGATATTGAACTTGAAAAATTAAAAAAAGATCCTTCCACATTATCAGAGTTATTTAAAACAACACATCGGTTTAATCAAAGTTCTATTCTTCAAAAAGTGAATGTTTATATTATTAAAAAGAATATCAGTTTTACAGTGTAAGCTTATTAGTAATTAATTATAGTTTTGAAAAGAGAAAATTTTTTTTTGAAAAAAAGCTGTTAAAAATAAAGATGTAACCAGTTTTTGTGGCTCTTATTTTTTTATTTTTTTAGAAGTATTTAAAAATTAATTATTCAAGCTACCAAATTTTACTTTAATAGCAATATCTTAATTCATATTTTAATTTCAGATTTAAATAGGACAATTAACACTGAAATTCACTGACACTCTTATGATTTTGGTATGCTTAAAGGTTAACACGGTTTGAGCAGTTCTGTATAAAAACTTCTTAGATAATTTTATCTTCCTCAGTTTTATCTTAATTGGTTTTAGTGTTATATTTTGACACAATAAACATTGTTTATTTATATTTAATATGTTTAATATTTGATATATATATATATATATATATATATATATATATATATATATATATATATATATATATATATATATCTTTTAATTCTGATTCAATCACATCAAGGCTGCAAGCAACCACTATTAAGTTAGGACTTACTAGGTAAAAAAAGAATAGAGTAGATCAAGGAAACGGTTAACAGAAGACTTAAAGAGTTGTAGGTTGTTATGAGTCAGGAAAACATGAGATGGGAGAGAGTTCCAATGGGTTGAAATGCATGGAAAGAAGCCGAATAAAAGTTTTTAGATCATGCAGAGACGGGTATAGTAAGCAAATAACACAAAAAAAGTTCGACCCACTCAGATAGAGTGGGTCTAACTACATTTACAATGCATTTTGGACTTTGTCTAGAAGAGAAAGAGCATCATTAGAAGAATCAGTCCAAATTTGACAAAAGTATTCCATACAAGGACAAATAAGAGATTTGTAAAGATAGAGAATGGAAACAGGAATAAGAAAATCATAAGCACAATAAAATGAAGTAACTGATAATCCAAGAAGACATAAATAAGAGAACTCAGTGAGAGGGTTGCCATTTATTGATATAGGAACGTTGACAGTTGTTTGCAGTAAATAACTGAGTTTTGTTGGAGTTAAAATTTAAAAGCCATTGTGAATCTCAATCTGTTACAGAAGTGAGATCAGATTCAAAATTGTCTGCCTGTTCTAAGCGATTGAAAAGAGAAGACTTTTTGTCAAGACAGAAGTATAAAATTGAGTCATCAGCAAAAAGAGCTACTTTAGATGTAAGGTTGTTAGGAAGATCATTGATGTAGATAAGAAACAAAATAGGACCAAGGATAGAACCTTGAGACACCCCAGAAGTTACTGGAAAAAAAGAAGAGTGTTGGCCTTCAAGGTTGACTTTAATAAAACGGTTAGAAAGAAACGATTTGATAATCTCAAATATTTTTTCAGATACACCATTTAAAACAAACTTATAGAGAAGACCAGCATACCAAACTTTTTCAAAAGCCTTAGATATGTCAAGAGCAATAGCCCTATCCTCTCCACCTCCATCTAATGCACCATAAAATCTTTCAGTCACACCAATAAGCAAGTCAGCCGTAGAGTCAGAGGATCAAAAACCGTATTGATTGTCTGACAGCAAGTTATTTGACTCAAGATGAGATGTGAGAAGTTTTTTTTATCAAAGACTCAAAGACCTTGCTAATAACAGAAGGAAGACTGATTAGACGATAATTGGAGGGGTCAGAATGTTCACCAAAGTTTTTGAAAATTGGAACAACAGATGCCATTTTCCAGCAGGCAGGAAAACAAAAATCACTCAAACACTTATTAGATAGTTTAGAGAGGATTGAAGAGAGTTCTGGAGAACAATTTTGTAAGAATGTGGCAGGAGTGTTGTTTTGACCACAAGCCGTAGAAGAGTTTAATTGAAATATGACTTTAGCAATGGATGTTGGAGTGATTAGAATGTCTAACAATAGGTTAACCTGAATTTAAATTGAACATATGAATAATAATAAATTTTATACAAATATATAACTTGAATATTTAAACCTTTATTTTTTTAGATGTTCTCAGGGCCGACAACACTGGAGGGGGGAGGGGGCAAAAAGTAAAAAAAAAAAACCCTTATTATACTCTGTTTTATGTGGATATAACTGTTATATATTGGTATATAAGTTTATCTAATAAAGATTATTTTTAATATTTTTTTTTTAAATAATGAAAATATTGTTGGAAAAATATATATATATTTTTTTCAAAATATTAAAAAGCGTAAATTAAATCTGCACAACAATTAGAGTTTGTATTTAGAGTTAGGGGTAAGCACCTGGTACTCCCTATGTTCTCTTATTGTCACTACTTGGTCTCTTGAAAGATCTTGTGCCTTTATTTTTAATGTTAGAATTGTCAAATTTTTGTCATTTATAATCCTAACAAAAGAGTTTTTTTCAGACATGATTTTAGAACTTTCTAGCAATTAGTTTTTGGTCTGCATTTTTTATTAGTGACCAAGCGGCAACAGCTAAGTGCATGGCATGTACTGGATATTTTTTATTTAATCTAGTGATTTATCATAAAAGTTTATATAAAGTCATGGAAAAGTCATGGAATTTCATTTTCAAATTTGAGTGGCCTCCCTGTAAAAGTTTGGTCACAAGTACCCTAAATGTGGGAGCAACAAGTTGATAAAAATATTTTTTTAAATGAAATTTGTAACCCCCTTAAGTTGAGGGAAGTTCAAACTTTATACAGTATATTTTTTGAACACTAAGATGCTATTGTATAAAATTCAAAGTTTATCAATAGATATATATTTTGTTGTGATAAGTAAAATAAATATTTTATCAAATTATTTCTCTCACATTTGGGGTAGTTGTGGTCAAAGTTTTAGAACTTATTTAGGGCCCAGGCTCTAATTATTGCAATATTTTTGCAAATCATCTTTATTTAACGTAAGTATAAACATGTTTATCATAAGTATATTTGACTTAAGTATAAAAAAGTTTATACTAATGTCAAATCATCTTTATTTGACATGAGTATAAACACAATGTAAATATAGGTATGTACATGTATATACATACATATATTTAAAATACCTAATTGCATATTTATTTTTCTTATAGTTCATCAATATCATCTGCTGAAACAGATTCTATATTTGATCTTTTACTCACTTTGTTGACAAAACAAAAACAAAAATTGAGTGAATATCTGTCAAAGTATGAACATTGTAAACTAATTAAGCAAAGTTCTGATTTTCAGTATGACTGGGTATAATTTTTTTAGAAATTCATTTTAATTTGGAAGTGATTTATTTTTTATTTTTTTATTTTCATCACTTTTGGTTAGTTTTTTTTATTTTGGATATTATTTTATGTTTATAAGCAAAATTAAAACTTTTAAATAAATCAAGACTGTTATTTTAGCTATGCTACTTTAGGGTGATCCATAAAATGCATCATGCATTTTTAAACAGTTTTGGACATCTCCCCCACCCCCTAGTATTATAGCCTCTAGATTATTTTTTCATCTATGATATAGCTTTAAACTGTGGCTGTATTGTATTATTTATTGATATATCTGTGTGCAATAGCCGCAGTGGAATAGTTAGAATAGCGATAGTGGAGTGTAAATCAACTGAGGGTTTACATTAGACACTCTTTTATTTAAAAAAAATGTTTTTCTTGATTAAAAACCAAAAAAAAATTTTTTATGTGTTTTAAAATTATATACCCCTCCCTCCCCTCCATCTCCTCTCCTTTTTGTGATGATGTAAAAATTATCACAAAATCACTAACCCCTCCCCCTATTGCTTGATGTTGTATGTAGATGACCCCTTTAGTATTTAAAGGATTATAGTAACTACAATGTTTATAATAACTGCTATGTTTTATAGGTTACATTAAGTGATCTTTTGTTTCAAGTCTATGGTATCAGATCGATCAATTTGAATTCGAACAATCAAACAGAAAGCAATACTATTTATCCTAATGAGTGCTCACATTTAACTAAAGTTATTTCAATAATTGAATCAACAAAAACAGTTTATATTATTGAAGAGATACCTAATTTTTCTTTAGCAGATGGTTTAGCTTATAGTCCTGCAATAGCTGGGAAAAGCTATTTAAAATTCATGTTTCTCTTTCAACAATTGCTAGAGATTTTTGTCTTTGTTAAAAAATTTGGGTTTTCCTTTCATACGTCATTAAGTTTAAAAGATATTTCTCTCTCACATAATGCATTATGGATAAGTATGTCCCCTATTCAATGTTTATCATTTGATACTAAAATAGTTGAGCCTGTTTTAAAAAAACCTTTAATTAGAATTTATGATGGGATAAATACAGAACTACATGACGAAAAAATAATTTTAAATGAAAGTTTAAGCACTTATACTAAAGCATGGGTTGAAGGAGATCTTAATAATTTTGATTATTTAATGATTCTTAATAAAGTTTCAGGAAGAAAGTTTAATGATGTTTTGAATCATCCTGTGTTTCCATGGGTTACAGATTTTTTGCAACAATATTCAGGTTTCCGAGATCTAACGAAAACGATGTTTCGACTAAACAAAGGTGATAGAATGTTAGATGAAACATATACTTCGGCATATCATGATTATGCTCCTCACCACATATCTGATTTTCTTTCGGATATTACTTATTATCTTTACCATGCTCGAGATACTGCTAAAGAAGTACTTTGTAAACATGTGCGATCACGATGGGTACCAAATGAATATCCTGTGTCAATGGAACGAATGTATCAATGTACGCCAGATGAATGTATTCCAGAGTTTTTCTACAATCCTAGTATCCTTGTGTCTATTCATAATGATTTAAAGGACATAGTTTTACCATATTGGACAGCAAATAGTAACGAATTTGTTAAATATCATTATGAAATGTTGGAGAGTCCAAATGTTTCTAAGAATTTGCATCATTGGATAGATCTTATTTTTGGATACAAACTAGGCGATACAGCTGCTAAGCAAGACAAAAATGTGCATCTTTCTTTGGTTGACGATCACACAGATTTGCGCAATTATGGTGTTGTTCAGCTCTTTTTTTCTCCGCACCCCCACAAGAAAATCAGCAGAGATAATATGTTAAGTCAAAGTGGTAGCAGAGAAGGTATTTTTATTTTTATTTCCATTTTCAGATTAAAATTTTTTTTCTTTAGAGTTTTTATTTTAGTTTTTACTAAAGTTTCAATGTGCATTTTTTAAAAAATTTAATTTTTACAGATGTTTCAATGTCATGGGAATATGTTGATATAAGCAAAGAGGCTATTCAACAGAATGCTGAAAATGAGAGCAATGATTTCTTAGTTGAGTTTTCTCAAGAAGATCTTTATAAAAAGTTTAACGTCCATAAATTTAAAAAAGTTAACTTTTTAACAACACTTGATCATGTAGAGAAGATTTTAACTCATGAGTCTAATATTTCTGCTATCACAGAAAAAGGTATTGGAACGTATTATTTTGGATCTGTTTTTGATGATATAAAGGTAAGATTTATTTTCTGATGTTTTGTGATTGTACGTACAAGTACTCTATTTGTTTTGTTATACAATTTGACATGATAAGTTTGTATAACTTTGTATTAATTATTATATTTTTATTTTGACCTAATATATAATAATAATATGTTATTCAAGCCTTCCCAGGAAAGGCGTGCGGTTTTTTTGTCTCATACGACCACGAAAACGTTTTTCAAGTTAGAGAACGTGATCACGGCCGTTTGCGCAAGTTTTATTATATGGGTTGCTGAAAAATTGTTTTAAATTTAATAACTACTTAAGAAATTAAAGTGAACATTAAGTCAAAGCAAAAAAAAAAAAAAACTGTTTTAGGGGTTAAAAAGGATGACTTTCCCATATCTTATGTGTTTTTTTCTTTTAAAGAGGAAAGAAAATATGTATCGTCATCTGTTTGTAAAATATATTTGTATAATTATAATGTAACAAGTTTATATCAAGAGTTAAATTATACAATCGCGATTTGCAATCTCTGGTAAAATATTAGGTCTTTAAAATTTTAGTTCATGTACTTTGTTTATAAGGAGCAAATTATTAAAAGTTTGCTGCGAGAAAGTTACAAAAAACAAAACAAAAACAATAAACTTACGACTACAAAAGTAATAACACTTTAGTCACTAACTGCATTATAAAAGTAATAATTCTATAATAGTGTTATTACATTTATAAAGCACTTATTACTTTTAAAGTTCATTCTTTGTTCAAACAACATTATTAATTCCAAACATTTATTAAAGTAGAAAAGCATCTAGAAAAAATGAAGCGGATATTCAAATATTATTAAAAATTTCAGGAACTTTCACATATCTCTTAAACAACGTTATAAAAAAGTACTTTATAAAAAGTATAGCATTATGAAAAACGTTATGTAAAAACAAGCGTTAATTTTAAAATCAACTAATAAAAATTTTTTATTGGTTAATTTTAAAATTAACGCGCGTTTTTACGGTCCATTAGTAACGTTTTTCATAATGCTAAACTTTTAATACGATTCCTTTTCATAAAGTTGTTTGTCATGTTTTTATAAGTTACTTTAGTTTTAATATTATTTGAACATCTACTTTATTCTTTTAAATATTTTTCTACTTCAATTAAAATATGGGAATATTAATGTTGCTTGAACAAAGAATGAATTTTAAAAGTTATAAGTGCATTATAAAAATAATAACACTATTATAGTGTTATTACTTTTGTAATGCAATTAGTGACTAGAGTGTTATTACTTTTGTAATCGTAAGTTTATTGTTTTATTTTTTACTACCAAATTTAAGTTGATTCTTCCCTTAAAAACAAGGAACACGGTTTTGTATAAACTAAAATTTTGAATACTAGATATTTTTCCAGATTTTGCGTTTTGCATTCGCTTAATTCAACCCTTGTTGTTACATTAAATTAATTTACAAACACATTGCAATTTGTATTTTTGCTATCCTCTTGAAAAAAATTAAGAAAAGGAAAATCATTTTTTTAATTGTAGACTTCAAACTGTTTTTTTTTTTTTGCTTCGTCTTATCTAATTTTTGTTGCTGAATGTAACTCTAAAGAAACAATAATAAAAACAGTACACAAATTATTAATTTGTTTTTATTTTTTCTATTTCAATCTCTTTTTATTTTGTTAGTTATGTTTTTTTTGTTTGAAACTTTTTCAGCATTATTATTTTGCAAACGGCTGTGTTCACGTTTTCTAAAATAGTGTAATCGCGTGTGGTCATACAAAAAAAAAAAAACCTCACACCTTTCCTGGGAAGGCTTTGTTATTATTGTAGTTGATATATCAAAGGAAAAAAAATCAGTGGATCAAAAATTTGAGATTTTTTTAAATTCATTAATAATATTTTATTAATATGTTGTTGAATAATATATATATCAATATATATATCAGGGGCAGATCTAGCATTTTAAATAAGTGATGCGAAATTTTTTTATAGAACACCTCCTCCAACCTCCCTAGAGTTTAAGTATAGTTAAGTTGAAAAGTGGAGGGACAGAAAAAGGCATAGCAAGGGTGGGTCAGATATGCCTGGGGCGGCTTTTTTTTAGGAATGGCGCTGCTGTTTATGTTATTGAATAATAATAACTATATTTGTTTTATATTGCTTTTGTAGTATCTTTTTTTAACAGAAATTTTCACAAATGTTGCCTTGACTATTTCGTTCATAAATTAGACATGTAATTTTGAGCTTAATTTACTTAACAAAGTGCACCACTGAAAAGGTAAGCCATATGACTTTGCACTTCATCTGTATACTGTGATTTTGTTGCCTAAGGTTAGCCCTCCATTTCTGGATTTTAACCTTTTCTTGATAGGCACGTAATGTAAAGTAATATTAGGTTAATTAAGTATTATTATAATAATAAAAATTAGCCCTCCATTTCTGGGTTCTATCTTTTTCTCGATAACAGTTTATGTAAAGTATTAGTAATCTTGTCTAAGGTTAACCCTCTATTTCTGGATACTTTCCTTTTCTTGATAGGAGATTTTTTTAATTTCAACTTTTTATTTTATTAATTTTTGTTATATTTTTTTATTGAAGTTCAATTAATATAAAATAAATATAGGATAATAGTCTCTCTCTCTCCCTCTTTATATATACATGTATATATATATATATATATATATATATATATATATATATATATATATATATATATATATATATATATATATATATATATATATATATATATATATATCAGGCTTTCACTTATATGACCACGCTAATTACATTTTGCTATGATTATTTGACCGCGGCTAATAAACATTTTAAAAACATGCTAAATAAAAAATATTCTAAAAAAGTAAAATTAATTACATCAAAACTTCTTAACTAATGTTTTTATATTAGCAAAACGCTTTTAAATAAAGTAACAATTTACTGATAATGGTTGTTTTTTTTTAAATATAATTGAAAGTTGTATATATTTTTTTAATTTATAATATATAAATTGTTTAAATGTGCATTTCTATAATAAACATTATTAACAAATAAAAAATTGTTTTGTTTTTATAAAAGATGACATTCTACGACTACAAAAGTCTATTTAGCAAATTTTAATGTAAGAACAATTAAAGTTAAGACATTTAAAAAGATAAACATAATTTCGTTGAAAAAAAAAAGTTTTAAAAAGCTGTTACAATTAAATAAGTTGATCTTAAATGCTTTTATATTATCGAAACACTTTTCAATGAAGTAACAAAACACTTCTAATTAATTTTTAAAATAAGTATTAATTAACTGTTGTTTATTAATACTTATTTTGAGTATTTTTTTACTTATTTATATAATTATGTATTTTTTATGAGAAATCTTCATCTTCTAGGATTAACTCTCACTTCTGATCTTTCTTGGAAACCTTATATCAAATCCATTGCAAAATTAGCATCTGCTAAAGTTGCATCTCTTTATCGAGCTCGACACTTTCTTACTCTGGATTCTATTCTCTATCTCTATAAATCTCAAATCCAACCATGTATGGAATACTGTTGCCATATCTGGGGTGGATCTTCTAATGATGCCCTTTCTCTTTTAAAACGCATTGTAAACATAGTTGGACCTGCTCTTGCATCCAACCTTCAACCTCTGTCACATCGTCGTAATGTTGTTTCTCTTTCTCTTTTCTACAAATACTATAATGGGCACTGCTCTAAAGAGCTAGCGTCTCTTGTGCCATCTACTAAAATTCATTCTCGTGTTACTCGTCATTCAATTAAGTCTCATCCTTTTTCTGTTACTGTTCCTAAGTGCTCCAAAAACTCTTATTTGTCTAGTTTTTTTCCTCGAACATCACTTCTTTGGAATTCGCTTCTTATATCTTGCTTTCCTGATTCACATAATTTGCAATCTTTTAAGTGGTCTGTCAATCGTTGTCTTGCTCTACAATCTTCATCTTTTCTCTTCCAGTAACTTCCAACACTAATTAGTGGTTGCTTGCAGCCTTGTTGGAAGCAAAGATGTTTAAAAAAAAATTTAAAAAAATGTTAATTTTGAAACATGTTAAATAAAAAAAAAAAAGTACAACAGTTAAAACAAAGATTGAATTGGTTTTTTAATGCGTAAATTAGACTAGGCATTTTAGTTTGATGAGTTTTGTTTTAGTTGGGTTATATATATTTATTTTTTTGTGTTTTTGCTTTATGTATATTTTTTTTATTATCTCTTTTGTTAAGATTTTTTTTCTTTTTACAAGTTTTTTTTTTAAGATAAATTTAGGTAAGTTTTTGTAGTGCATTTTTAAAATTTGAAAATATGTCAAAAGCTGTGGTCAAATTGTTAAAACATATTATATTTTGCATGGTCATATAAAGACGTGCGATCGCATGCCTTCCTGTGAAAACCTGATATATATATATATATATATATATATATATATATATATATATATATATATATATATATATATAAATATATATCTGTCCACTTACGGGGACAGATGGAACAATATATATATATATATATATATATATATATATATATATATATATATATATATATATATATATATATATATATATATATATATATATATATATATATATATATATATATATATATATATATATATCTGTTCACTTACGGGGACAGATGGAACAAAAAAACGAATATTTATGGGGACATTAGCATTATCGGGGCCATTTTAGTGTACCCGTTAATTTTTTGTCCCCATAAAAATGATTTCTTTTTGTAAAAAAATGTACCCGTAAGAAACTTTTATAGAGAACAAAAAGTACATACACTGGCTGACAAATAGCCTGACTCGCAAGGGAGTGCTGCTACATCGACTGAGGGTTTGGTTTGGCCAGGCATCAGGGTCAGGCTTAGGGTAAGAGTTACGGCAAGATTTAAATTTGGTTATATTGTTGTATTTAATCGTTTTTGTAAATAGATGAAGTTAAAAATGAAATATAATATAAAATAAATCAATAAAAATAACAAAAATTTATATAAAAAATATATTTTTATATATTTT